ACACACACACACACACACACACACACACACACACACACACACACACAGGGTATCAATCCATTATGGCAAGGGCTTAGAGAAGCGCAGGCTGTTTTTATTAGAGCTGAATCCTGTTTTGCATAAAAAAGTGGCCTGTTTGAAATCAAGAACACATTTCCATTAATAGGACTTGGACAAAGTAAAATAAAATCTCATTAAGATGATGTAAGTACATACGACAATGAAATCTCTGTAGCTAACTTTGGCTTAGCAATTTACAGCCAAGTCCCCACACGAAGGAAAACAACAGAGTTTTACACCAAGTTGTCTTGTGTCTTGGGCATTTTTAAAAGGCCTGCAATGAAACCCTTTGTCAGGAGTATCTGAGGGGGGAGGAAGAGGAAGAGGAGGTGGAGGAGGAGGAGGAGGAGGAGGGAGAGGGGGGGTGGGCTCCGAGGGGAGGAAAGGATTAAACTTGGAAAAATAACTGGGATCCCAGGTTTTTTCTTATTCTTTTTCTGGCAAGGATAGCAGGAGATAGAGTAGATTAGAACTATATTTTTGCAATCATACAAACATGTTTTGTTCTGGAGCCTGCTCTATAATCATCCTGCCCATTTCAAGGGACTTTCCAATAAGCAAGCAACTGACAACAAGGTTTTGGATTACACGGCAATTTAGGAATGCATTAAAAACCAAGCAGTTAATATAATAAAGTGTAGTGCTAACCTTTGTGAACTTTAGAACAAAACGAAAAGTGCAATTTCAAAAACTTGTTTTATTTAATGCTTACTGGCTTAGCCAAATATTTCAGTTTACTCAGGCTCTGTGTGTGTGTGTGTGTGTGTGTGCGTGTGCGCGCGCGCATATTTAAAAGAGATCTTTGATGTCTTTCTTGTTAGATTAGTCATTAAAAGAAAAGGTATTGATGGCTCTTGATCATACAGTGGATTTTATGACTAATCAGCCTTGGTAGTTGCTATATTTTCTTCCAAAATGAAACTTTAATATTCTTTTGACGTTACATAATCTCCCCTCCTCTTTCAGAACAGTTACACAAGCTACTTATTAAGTATTACAAACAGCATATTCTTAATTTACACCTAATCAAGTGAAGCAAGAGGTTTGCTTTCCATTATCTGGCAACGTTCACAGAAGGAAGCAAGTTGAGCTGGTCTAGAAGTAAACACTCTTCAGTCCAAAGTGTATATAGGATTACAGCACAATTATCAGGGAATAATTGAGACACCACATCAGGGCAGCAACCACATCCTCACTGGAGGGGCAGCAAAGTGATATAGAAAAACTCCAAGTCTTTGCTGCCATCTAGTGGCTGCTTGGAGTTTTACAATTCAAATTTGGTACCCCACCAAGCAAGTTCCTTTCACTGAGGATCAACAGATTAGTCAAGGTGAACTCAATTAGCTTGTGTTTGCGCATTAAGTTTTTAAAAATTTATTTAATTTGGATGCTACCTGACTCTAACTCAGAGGTCTCCAAACTTGGCAACTTTAAGACTTGTGGACTTCAGTAAATTAAATTAAAGGTGTAAATTAAAGTTGCCAAGTTTGGAGACCCCTGATCTAACTGATTCTAGGTGGCTCACAACCATAAACAACAGAAAAACAGAAAATACATATTAACCGTAACAAATACAAAAATAACCACAAAATGATCACCAGATGGCAACCTAACAACAATAGAATCACAAATATCACATATAGAGGAGTCCCTTTTACCCTAAGCCATGGGTCTGGGTAAATAGCCAGGTCTTTTTAGACTGTCATCAGGGCAAGAGTTGCACAGATCTAGGGGTGACCTCATTCTAGAGGGCAGGTGCCACACACTCTTCATTTTAATCGATTCAATTAATTTATATGAATGATCAGGCTGCATTTTAGAGAACACTGGCCTGCTTTTTTTAAAGTTCCGTCTCCTCTATGAATTAATATAACAAGCATAAAATGGTAAAATATGGCCAAACCCTTGTTTTGCTGGTTAGATTGGGTTATTGTTATGTGGCATAGCAACACCAGATGCAGCCCTTTAATGCAAGACTGAATTTCCTTCCTTGGATCTGGGGGGGGGGGGGGGGGGTTGTCAGCCAAAGCAGAGGTCGCCAAACTTGTCAACGTTAAGACTTGTGGACTTCAACTCCCAGAATTCTCCAGCGAGCATAGAATTCTGGGAGTTAAAGTCCACAAGTCTTAAAGTTGACAAGTTTGGAGGCCTCTGAGCCAAAGGAAGATTGTCCAGGCAGGACATATGGACTGAGTTCTACCATCTTGCAGAAGCTGAAGATTTCCAACTTTCTGCTGCCCCTTCTGAACATTGCCGCCTTCCCTAATCACGGGCCTCTCCAACAAGCAGTAGTGCAAACCCCGGAACTCCTGGTGGACACAGCCATCCCTAAGATGCCTGTAGGGCCTTGAATGACCAAGAAACCAAGCTTTTCCCAGAAGTCCCTGAAGGGGCTGGCAAGACAGGCTGGAAGAAGTGCCTCCTAAGCGCTTTGCCCTGCAAATGCAACCGAAGAAATCTCTTTTCTAGTGACCGGATGATGCGCACAACGATTCACCTTGCGCAAAGTTAGCCTGCTAATCAAGGCTTCCTGAAATGTTCGTAAGAAAATATAAGCCCCGGCCTAAAATGGAGCAGATTGTGGCAGGAAGACCTTGTCCACATGTGCTTTTGGACCTGCCAACAGGCATCCGGGTTAGTTTTCTTAAATTGTCTCAGGAGGGAGGCAGAAAGGCTGAACAAGAGATGCGGAACCAGGAGACGGAGCAGTGGCTGACTTCTCTGGCATTAGCCATTTGGAAAGGGGGAGGGGCTTGTCCAAGACAGCCAGCCAAACCCTCAACTCCCCCTCCCAGGTTATGGCTGAAGGGGTTCCACCTGCCCTGGGATCTGGGGGCCCTCGAGGGAACTGGCCATTGTGCTCCTCCAGGATGGGGCTGTAGACCTCAGCACAGCCAGTTGGGTTATACAGGTGAAACTCGAAAAATTAGAATATCGTGCAAAAGTTCATTTATTGCAGTCATGCAACTTAAAAGGTGAAACTAATATATGAGGTAGACTCATCACATGCAAAGCAAGTCAGTTCAAGCTGTGATGGGTCATAATTGAGATGATTATGGCTTACAGCTCATGAAAATCCCAAATCCACAATCTCAGAAAATTAGAATATTGTGAAAAGGTTCAATATTCTAGGCTCAAAGTGTCCCACTCTAATCAGCTAATGAAGCCATAACACCTGCAAAGGGTTCCTGAGCCTTTAAATGGTCTCTCAGCCTCGTTCAGTAGGAATCACAATCATGGGAAAGACTGCTGACCCAACAGTTGTGCAGAAAACCATCACTGACACCCTCCATAAGGAGGGAAAGCCTCAAAAGGTAATTGTAAAAGAAGTTGGATGTTCCCAAAGTGCTGTATCACAGCACATTAATAGAAAGTTACGTGGAAGGGAAAAGTGTGGAAGAAAAAGGTGCACAAGCAGCAGGGATGACCGCAGCCTGGAGAGGATGGTCAGGAAAAGGCCATTCAAAAGTGTTGGAGACTTTCACAAGGAGTGGACGGATCCTGGACCTGGGCTTCAAATGTCACATTCCTCTTGACAAGCTGCTCCTGAACAACAAACGTCAGAAGCATCTTACTTGGGCTAAAGAAAAACAGACCTGGTCTGTTGCTCAGTGGTCCAAAGTCCTCTTTTCTGATGAGAGCAACTTTTGCATCTCATTTGGAAACCAAGGACCCAGAGTCTGGAGGAAGAATGGAGAGGCACACACTGCAAGATGCTTGAAGCCCAGTGTGAAGTTTCCAGTCTGTGTTGATTTGGGGAGCCATGTCATCTGCTGGTGTTGGTCCACTGTGCTTCATTAAGTCCAGGGTCAACACAGCCATCTACCAGTAGATTTTGGAGCACTTCATGCTTCCTTCCGCAGACGAGCTTTATGGGGATGATGACTTCATTTTCCAGCAAGACTTGGCACCTGCCCACACTGCCAAAAGTACCAAAACCTGGTTCAATGACCGTGGGATTACTGTGCTTGATTGGCCAGCAAACTCGCCTGACCTGAACCACATAGAGATATGGGTCATTGCCAAGAGAAAGATGAGAGACATGAGACCAAACCATGCAGAAGAGCTGAAGGCCGCTATTGAAGCATCCTGGTCTTCCATAACACCTCAGCAGTGCCACAGGCTGATAGCTTCCATGCCACGCCGCACTGAGGCAGTCATTGCTGCAAAAGGGGCCCAAACCAAGTACTGAGTACATATGCATGCTTATACTTTTCAGAGGTCCGATATTGTTCTATGTACAATCCTTGTTTTATTGATTGCATGTAATATTCTAATTTTCTGAGATTGTGGATTTGGGGTTTTTATGAGCTGTAAGCCATAATCATCACAATTATGACAAATCACGGCTTGAACTATCTTGCTTTGCATGTTATGAGTCTATCTCATATATTAGGTTCACCTTTTAAGTTTCATTACTGAAATAAATGAACCTTTGCACGATATTCTAATTTTTCGAGTTTCACCTGTAAACAGGGAGGGCAGAGCATGAGCCCTTGGTGGCCCCAAAGGGAAAACTGATTTCATCTGTGACCCCTGCTATTTGGAGGCATTGAAGTTCTACTAGTTCACCATTAACCTTCTGCAGGGAAAGTTGACCCTTTTCTCTATGAATCCACTAATTGGCTCCTTTGCCTTTTCCAGATGATTTTTGCCATTTTAAGATGGGTGGGAAAAAAAGAGAGAGAGATTTCAATCATTCCCTATTTGGTTCCCCATGCATCATAAATTAGGAGCAAAGACCCGATGAAATCGGTAAAAGACACGAAAGCTTGAAAGCCTCTTTTTTTCTCTGAACCAGCAGAGCAAGAACTGGAAAGAGTGGGGCACCCAAGTGTTCTCCCTGCAAGCAGAGGGTTGGCAAAACACATCTGGGGACAAACCCCACCCAGCCCCACCCGCCACCGAGGACCTGCCCCACCACCCCAGTCGCCCCCAACATCATCTCAGGCCCTTTTCTTGCCAATCCGTCTTCAGTCTTAGGGCTGAAAAATAAAGGATGCAGACGTAGATTAGGGAATAACAGCCGGCAACAATTCCCAGCAATATCTTCACCAAGATCTAAACATCTGGTACATGATGTTATTACTTGCTTTTTTTTTTTTGTTGGTTAAAGTAACAATAAAAATAACTCTACAGTAAAAAAAAGGATCTACCCATCCCCACTTAGCTAAATAAATCTGCCTCCTTTTTAGAAAAGATTTATTCCAATCCAGCATTTTTGTGGATATTTAATTAAACATCTGAAACAACTTATGTCGGACTATTTAGAGACAAAGTTGTTTTTTATCCTGTTTACACATGTAACGTTGCTGGGGTCTTGCATTTTTTCTTACTATTTGGGGGGGCGGGGGGGGGACCCTCGTAGCTTTTCCTGTAAGCATTTTGTTTCTGTTTCTTTTCTTAAAGAAAATGAGCCACAGAGACTTCAGATCAGTTCAGGTACCCTCCAATCACCGTGGAAAGATTTGATTCGGGTGATTCTGAGAGGTGATGGGGTTGGCAAACCCCTTTCCCTCAACCTGAGGTATCTTGGGCCCAATGCCAACTGACCCAAAGAGGATCTTCGGGGCGGGTCATGGGGTGTCAAAGCCTGAAAAAAAAAAAAAAAAACCTCTGCCCTGGCCATTCCTCACTGAGCAGGTAAGAGAACAGCCTCCTGTCATTGACTAGGGTGCCCCCCAAAGAAAACGTCTCCACTACAAGAGCTAAACTGGGATTCTGAAGTAAAAACAATCCAGCTTCTGAGGTATTTGCTTCTTTCAATAAATCTGGTGAAAAGAATTGGAGCTCCCATTCTTCCTCTGTCCCCTTCACCTTGGCCAAGGGCCGCCATTTTGGCCAGGCTTCCATTTTGTTTTCTGATGAACCACAAATTTGGACAGGGCTCGCTGAACTCTACACTCCAGGAAACAGGCTGCCGAGTTAAGGCTCCTCAGCTGCATCAGCACTGTAGTTTTGTATTATGTCTGTCAACCAGCCCAGGTCAATTCAGATCTTGGTAGACCCCGTAGACCAGGGTCGCTCCCCTACCCAGGTTATTGCGCTGGTCAAAGGAAGGGAAGGACAAGAAGATCTTGTGAACCTGTGTCTGCTTGAAACACTCAGTGTTTCAGAATCACTGATCATCTACTTACTGTAAGACAGGAAACAAATGCTTTACATTAAAAAAAACACACCATAAAAATAATTAAAAAAAAAAAAACCACTCTTGCCCTCATCTTTAAAACTAAGCTGCCTTTTCTCACCTCAGTCCCTTTTGTGAAAGTCCTCAATGCCCAGAGCTTGGAGAAGGGTGGAGGATGGATATTTTCAGCAAGAAAGGGGGAAAAACAAACAAACCACCAGCCTTTCACCAAATCCATCTGAGCTGTTCCTTCTCTCAATTCAACCGGCAACGTTCAAAAGAGGAGTCTGAGGTTTGTTAAAAGATTGGTATAAAGCTCTCTTCGACTTCTCACCTGTGGAATGGTTTCTTTACAAGATCCCAGCATTCAAACGAAAGAAAGGCCATTGTGTGGTCTGTAACAATAGCAAGAGGGGAGCCAATGAGAGGCTGGCTCTACAAAAAACATGAAGGCATCACAGAACTGCCAGAACTAAACTACACTTTAAACACGACAAAGCCTTCTTGGCATCACATCTGAAAACAAGCTCAAAGTATGCTTGTCGATAGGAATAAAGCGCGAAGAATATCCGTACCATCAAAGTACGAGTGGAATCTGCTCTTCTTCAGACCTGACCTAACAAGCTCAACCCAAAGGAAGGGCCTGCTGTTTTCTCTGGAAGCAGACGGGCGGCCAGCTGCACCCAGGAACCCCCTGAAGCGAAGGGGGAAAGAGGGCTGTGGCTCCCTTTCCGACTCTGGAGCCTGAAGGACACCCGAAGAGATACGGTCAGGCCTGGGCGGAGACCGCCTGAGTCTCTGTGGGTGCAGCTCTATCGCTGGGAAGCTGCAGGACCCTGTAAGCTGGACCTTTGTCTCCTGGCGAATGCATTGGGGGGCCTGGGACGGGGGGACGGGATGGGACAAGTAAAGCTTAGGCAAGACCCAGGACAATATACTTAACTCTTCACTCCAAATGTTTCCTTCTGACCTTAATTCTTGTCTCTCTGACAAGAACTAAGATGTAGGGATAATGAGCGCTGGTGGTGCAGTGGTCAGAGTGCAGTACTGCGGGCTACTTCTGCTGACTGCTGGCTGACTGCAATTTGGCAGTTCGAATCCCACCAGGCTCAAGGTCGACTCAGCCTTCCGTCCTTCCATGGTTAGTAAAATGAGGAGCCAGATTGTTGGGGGCCAGAGGCTGACTCTGTAAACCGCTTAGAGAGGGCTGGAAAGCACTGTGAGGCGGTATATAAGTCTAAGTGCTATTGCTATAAAACAGTGGGAAACTGCAGGTAGAAAAATACAATGCATGGAGTTAAAAATGCAACACAGAAAGTAGGTGGGTGGTGGGTTTGTGCAGTAAAAGTCTAACCAGAAGCATCTGAGATAAGTAACGGGTCGTGGTAAATCATCTACACTCTCTGTGTGAGAGATCTTCCACGACAATCTTGAAAGTATTGCAGAAACACTGGGATCCTATTGATAGATGTATTTAGCTTCCCACCTGCCTTTCACTCTTTAATGGCAGGGGCTTCAGTTGCTGGGGAAGTTCTCTTGCATTTCGTCCTGGTGAGAAAACTTTGGCTAAAACACATCGGGAGTAACCATCATGCCTGGCATTGAAAGACACTGTTCCTAATGCCTTCTTAAAAGAACAAGTTGAACGGAAGCACACACAGACAATCTCTCTCTTTGTCTCTTTCTCTTAAGCATCAGTTTAAAGCTTTTGTAAATTGGTTACACTCCCAAATAAATCAATCCAGGCTCAAAGGCCAATTATTAATACAGTATTTCGAATAACCCGTCTCATATTCAGGGGGAAAAAAACCCTGACTGAATGTGTTCTAAGAAGCCGGATGCTGGTAAATAAGTGGTAGAGTGACACAGTTTCCAGTTGGATTCCCCAAGGGGGGAAGATATCATCAATGGAGTAATCCAGGAGATATTTACACCAATGGAAACCTTTTCTGGATTCTTCAAAAGCACTGAGCAATCAAACTCAGTGTCTACACTTCGTCGGCACTCAAGAAGCCGTTGGGCTCCAAAACCTGTTTTGGTTCAGCGAAGAGCCCTGGAGTGACTCCCTGCTCCCCATTGCAGCAGACATACACAAGGAGGAGGAGAGAGATAGGTTTTGTGTGTGTGTGTGTGTGTGTGTGTGTGTGTGTGTGTGTGTGTGTGT